ATGAGGCGCTAATGGCTCTGCCGACTGTTTTGGATGACGACGCTCTTGCTCTTTTCAGGGCTATTTCTGCTGCTAAGGTGCATTTGCTGAGATGGCGGACGTGTACGAGCCAGCTTCCGACACTCGCAGGAAGTTTCTTCAGTATAGGCGAGGGGAGGCTGAGACGCCTACCGCAGCACGCTGTTGGCGCTGGCGGGAGCAGCTTACCCCGGCGTGGATCCGAAAGCCCTCGACTCACTCGTCATGGGAAGGCTGTTGGGACTGGCACGAGAGATGGGAGTTTTCTTACCTGTGTGACGAAGACGAACAGGCGTCCCGGTGGGCCACCAGGTGTCTTCAGGCCCACGAGAATTTGTACCAATGGGCTCAAATGGCGGCGTGGACAAGGGACCCCAGCCGAGATGGGGAGCCGAAGGAGTGGTCACCACGGAACGTCGTGGTGTAGCCGGCTAAGGATGCGACTTCGGAAGAGGACATCGCTGCTGCACTCCCGGTGTGGAGTCGGAGATGGGATACCGCGTGGCGTCAGAGGAGCTGGAGAATGCATGTCCGTGGGAGATGTGCACAGCTTCATCGGGTTTGCATCGTGCCGCAATTTGCCACAGTTGCTAAGCCCTTGCATGCCTTGACAGCTAAAAACCAGAGGTTCCAGTGGGGAGTAGAAGAGGCTGTATTTTTAGCCCTTTGTGAGCGGTTGTCCGATGCACCCACACTTGAGTACCCTGATTTCTCCCTGCCATTTATTCTTGACACAGACGCTAGCGATATGGGCATAGGCGCCGTCCTGTCCCAAGTTAAAAGTAGTCGCGTATGGTAGCGGTGTCCTGTCCCCCGCAGAACGGCGTTATTGTGTTACTCGCAGAGAACTGTTGGCCATGGTTTATTTCGTACAACAGTGCAGATCTTACCTCTATGGCAGAGAATTCATTGTCCGCACGGATCACGTGGCCCTTCAGAACTCCTTGAAGGTTGATCAATCTTCTGGCCAACTTTCGCGTTGGCTTGAAATTCTGCAGGAATACTCGTTCCATGTGATATATCTAAAAGGAGTTCGGCATTGCAACGCTGACGCGTTGTCCCGGTTGCCTCAATCGTCTAGCTGTGCATGTTCGTCTGGTGCGGGCCATTGTAAACCTCCGACGGCGAGTTCAGCTACTGCAATGGCAGCGTTCGAGGACGCTGAGCCCGCCGAGGTGGTTGCACCTGCGGATTGCGTTATGGATGTTGTCGTCTACATCTCTACCACCTCCGGGCACCGCTAGTCAGGCAGCCTACCAACTGACTTGGCTGAGTAGCGTCGCAAATAATAGACGGACTAAATATTAAGTGTGTTAATCCCGATGGTGCTCACTAATAAAGAAGTGCCTCCAAGTCTTAACGTCTCCGAGTTAGCCGCTACACGTATATATTTCTAGATTTGAAGCTTTCGTGACTGCAAGGATTCATATTCTTAGGTTTTTTCAGTAATATATGTTGAGCTTCTTTTGCACAGTACATAGCCAACCGTGATTATCGTAGGTGTGGGTGAAGTACAACAAACTACATAGTGATAACATCTCATCCACAAATATTAAAGTAACAAAAGGTGTTCCACAAGGTTTTGTGCTGGGTCCAATTCGGTTATCCTTACATTTAAACAATCTTGGACTAAACTTTAATCACTCAGAATGAAATCTTTGCTGATGACATTGTCATGCCAGTATCGGGTAAATCTACAAAGTCAAACAGAATTGCCAACATGATTTTGACGAAATTGAGTATCAATACAATTGCTCAGTGGCAGCCCCAACAGTCTGGAACGCTATCCCTCTGCACATTCGCAGCATCACCTCAATCGCCTCCTTCAAGAGAGACTTTAAAACTCACCTCTATAACCATGCCTTTGAGCGACTCCGAGCTTGGCTCCGCGCCTCTGAGTTGCGGCCGTTACGTCCGCAAATTTGCGCACGTTATAAATTGCATTATTATTAACGTCCGCAAGCGTGACGGCCGCCATTACATGTGGCATGGAGAACGCGCAGTCGGATGCCGCCTTTACGGGCGGTACGGGGGAGGTGCGGACGGAGTCCGCCATTTTACGAAACAAGCGTGATACGCAAGATGTGGCACCCGCCACTAGAAACGAGGATAAAGAATTTGTCGCGGCAGGAGGCGATTGGAGCGCCTTCACTTGGTAATTTGAAGCAGCTTTCTGATCAGGACACTGGACAGAAGATGATGTGCTAATGGCTCTGCCGACTGTTTTTTGGATGACGACGCTCTTGCTGTTTTCAGGGCTATTTCTGCTGCTAAGAAGGCTACACTTCAAGGTGCATATGCTGAGATGGCGGACGTGTACGAGCCGGCTTCTCCAATGCCAAACTAGTTTAATTCCCTTCACCTATTACGGATATCAGAAACACCATAGAACAGAGTGTTTCAAATACTTGGGTTTACGGAACAAACATTGTTTTCCCATTCGATTGCACCTACAAATTGTTGAATCTATCATTCTACCACTTTTTGACGACTGAACTGTTTACAGATTAGCTACTAATTCAAACACGTAATAGACTAAACCAATTTTATCATTCTACTATTCGATTTGCACTGGATGTACCATACAGGATCCACTATTGTGACCTCTACTTCAAATCCAATCTTACATAGCTTGATCAAGAATGAAGCTACATTGGGCCCTATTCATCCATAAACTTAATGATAAAGCTGCGCTATACTTAGCTATATCATTAACGACAATTTCAAACCCAATAAGCCTAAGACGTCCATCTTATTGTTTTGTTTAACTCTCCCAAGAACAAGAATTGGAATAGTTAACAAAGCCTTTGCAGTTGCAGCACCAACGTTTTGGAACAACCTTGTTTTCTCCCTTAACTTGATACATCTAACTTCAACAAATATCCTGACGCAGATTAGTGCTGGATACAACCACAGTTGCAAATATGATTTGTAACTTTGATCCTTACCCGCATATGAATAATTCACTTTTAACGTGCGATTTTATTGAGGGACTGTGTGTTGTCTTGGTGTGGCCTCTGTTTTTGCTGTTGTTCTGCTGTGCTCAGGCTTTGGAGTGTATGTACTTGTGCAAATTGAACGTAGAAACTCTGTTTATTTTTATATATTCATGTTGAATTATTTGTTTACCTTTCCTGTACTTGTCACTACTATCGTTTTTTTGTCCTGTTTGTTGTAATTTCTGATTTGCCCCGACTGGACATATGTGAAAAAGAGCTTCATAGCTTATCGGATTTCTCCAGCATTAATAACAAAACTGATAGAGCTTGATACTGTACACTGTCCTTGAAGCTGATTGGCCTGAACCAGACAGCCTCTTTTATGACTTTGTGAACATCTTAACACATCCTGTATTTATGAGGGTTAACGCCTTTCTACATATGCAGTGCCATCACGGGATGTCACTGTGTGAAGACGGGCCGTGAGAGGCACGGCGTGCGATGTAATGACATCGCCCACACCGCTGTAATGTGGATGCTGTACCGGCCCGAAGCGGGGCTCGGTGAGCGCTGATTGAGAGCGACGGCTGCCGCACCACGGAACGGGGGTTAAAGGGGGCCATGGCACTCTGGTTGACCCCGGAGGACACGTGACTTGAGGTATCGACCGGGAGACCCCCTAAAGGGGGGCTGAGGTGAGGTGAAGATCCTTCTCGAGGTTTGGAGGCGGGCGTGGCTTGGGGCGGAGCGAGCCCCGCCACACTGGCGAAAAGCCGGAGCCCTGAGCGGCAGCGGCTGCTGTTGTCATCCTGAAGACGTCCACGTTTCACGTCCTACAGCCTCCAGCACGGGGACTCGGACCCGAGCTGGGGTCCAGCTCGCTGTAGCTAGTTACGCGTGGTAGTGTAGATAGCCTGGTGGTCCACCACCAGAGCTTACTATCTGGTGAAGGGGCAGTTACCCCTTCGTATTACGTGTTAATGTTAATACACGCGTTGCCTCCAACTCAATGGCGGAGCCAGGATTTTCAGGTAGGGGGGCAACCCCTCCAGCAATGCAAAATAGAGTTGCTAGTAAGTAGTTGTTAGTGAGTAAGGAGTTGTTAGTAAGCAAGGACTTGTCCCTTGCTTTTTATTCGACGCGTGTGCGGCGATGGCGCAGCCGTCGATCGAGGGTCGAATTCGAACCGCGTTGTGTGATCGGCATCGCGCTCGCTGAAGGTGTTTGCCTTCAGGGAAGTCGTGTGCTGTATACGCAACTGCGCACAATTCCGTCAGTCACTTATCACCGCTTTGCCGTTACTTATTGCCAATTATGGACTCAGACTATGGTCCTATCATCTCATAGAGTCCCTGACACTTAAATACTATGCTAAACAGTAGCAGTGGGGGTCGCAAAATGCCGATTTATTACTAATACACCCCAATGATCCGATCGAAATTAGGGATTTCGATCGGATCATTGTGGGGGAACATGCCACCCCCCACTGGCTCCGACAGTGCCTCCAAGAGTACTGTACGTCTGAGTCTCCGTTTGAGCTCACTACACATCACTCGAACCCTTTAATGCTATTTATGTGTTTTTGTTTACGCGGAGAGGTAGACATTGTTAATATCTTTTGTTCTCTCTCAACCAAACTGATTGAGAGGGAACAGTCACTGATCAATCCACTGCTGGATGGCGGCCGGCCCGACACCGTGTGGATAGTTTGACCAAACGTTGGTTAGTGATGTTCAAATCACCTCCATCGACCCACCATCATTACCCGGCCCTGTGGCTCAGCAGGAGAGAGAGAGCGGCTCACAATCGGAAGGTTGCGAGTTCAAACCCTGACCAGGGGGTTGATTCAGCCCATCATCCCTCCCTCTGAGGTTGACAAAACGAGTGCCACTTCGTGGGGAGGTCGTTAGTGGCTATGCGATGGAGACACTCGAACCCGCCCACCTGCCTGCCCGCCACTGGCTGAGGGCAGGGAGCAGGTGAGCACCACCTCAGCTCACTATTGAGCGGGGAAATCACTTTGGCTCGACCAGTAGCACTCACACGCGGTTGGGACGAGCAGCAGCAGGAGAACATGGAAGAAGGGGTGGATAGACGGCATTTCGTCTGTGCGCGCATCCGCGTCTCTACGCCTTCAGCGCGAGATGTAACGGCTGCGCCAAAGTAACGGCTGCTCCAAAGTAACGGCTGCTCCAAAGTAACGGCTGCGCCAAAGTAACGGCTGCTCCAAAGTAACGGCTGCTCGCTGTCGTCACGTGTCCCGGGGCTCCGTTGCAGGGACTCGTTCCACGCTCCCTGCCCACAGCTCAGAGCAGGCCTCGGCAAGGTAAGGTAAACGTTAAAAACGAGCCGATTTTTACCTTATCTTTTATCTTACCACAATACAATCACTCTACCCTACCTTTTACCCTTTAGCAGGTAAGGTAAAAGGTAAAAAGCAACGAGCCTAGCTTTACCCTACCTTTTACCCTTACCCCATACAAATGACCCAATTATAGGGTAATTACTAGGGAACTACTACACATGAACAAGGTTTATAACGGTAAATGCTAGGTAGAGCGCTTTATTCATATAGAATACTCTCAACGATTCCAATTTTACACGCTTGTCATTGTTGTCGTTGTATCCTCAAATCTTGTAACTAAATTTGTATCCACTTCCTAATGTGGTATCGACTGCAAACTTGGTATACTTATGTCATACTGATGACAACACTATATTCTATCATAAAATCCTTTTTTATATGTTATGTTTCGGCTTGGGTCTAATTGTCCACGCTCAACTGACGTTGGGCTGTAAATCACCACGGCCCCTTACGTTATGGCAAGCCTTGGGGCCACTTCCTGGAGTCGTAGAGTTCTGTCATTACTCGTACATTTCATAAAAGCGTGTTTTTAAGAAAGTTTGTTTTAATATTACTTGTTAAATGGAGGCCACGGACTGCGCCACGGAGCTTTTAGCGGTAAACAAGGTACTGTATTTACAGGGTAATACTTCGCGCTACCTTTACCCTACCGGGTAATTCTTCCGAGCTACCTTTACCCTGTTACCCTTTACCTTACCCCTTGGCATGTCGACATCTTTACCCTTTTACCCGGTAAAAAGGGTAACTTACCTTGCCGAGGCATAGCTCAGAGGTCGCAATCGGGTACCCGATACCCGGCTACCCTACCCAATACCCGGCTACCCGTACCCGGCCGGGTACGGGTAGCCGTTTGGAACCCTGGTGCGGCCAGGTACGGGTAAGGAATCAAAACCCGTTTGCGACCTCTGCCACAGCTGCCTCTCCCCACAACACACTGCATTATTGCTGCTGATGGGATGCGTATAATTGTATACAGCTTGTATTGTTCACGTGCAGGGACAGATAAGATACGTGGAGGCGATTGCCTGCTTAAATATTTTGTATTGTCCAATACGACGCGAATGGTTTTGTTTTAATTTGCGATTGAACTGCGTAACCCGTGGCACACGACGGGCAGGGAGAGTCGTCGCTTGCAATAAAGTGCAGAACAAGATGAGGTGGAAAGCGCAGGGAAGCCGGGACGGAATTCCCCAAGAGGGCATGGCTCAAGATGAGCAGCAGGAAGAAATGAGCACCGTGAAGGGGAGAAGGAATGACTGGGCCGAGATGTCACGGATGAGAGGGTGATGATGAAGATGAAAGAAGAGGGAGTTCGACTGAGAGAGCAGAAGGGAGCTGCACGGATAAGCGGCGTGTTTTTTCCCATAGGGGGTGGTTATGGGGATTCCGAATGGGAGGCTTGAGCTGATTTAGTTTTGATTCTTTAATGTAGAAACCTACATTAAAAGGACAATACACCATCCTTTCCCAGTCTGACCCACACCACTCAAAAATATTCACACCGACACACAGCCTTAATTTCAGACGTTTTATGCCACTGCTGGATGGTCCCACGTACGGTGTCGGTCATGGGGGTGGTTTGGCCATACGTCACCGAGCTGCCACGTGTGGATTGGTGTAGGTGGGGGGCTCAAAACCGCTTCAGCTGTCACTCAACCGTGTCAGTCACGGTTGGAGCGGTGAGCGCACTGCGTGACGAACTCGACCACCTTAGTTATATTCCTGGCTACGGTGAACATCAAGGAGCGAGTGATATCTGCAACCAGTTCTGGGCCGACCCCACCTTCAACAACCCGGGCTAAGCAGGTGGTGAAGTACGGTCTAACAAACCCCCTGACCTACACGGCATGGGGGGGCTCATCCAGCAGTCGATTAAAGGGCTGAACAAGCAAAAAGTTAATCAGCGAAGTACGACGCAGAAGGAAGCGGGAGGTACCGGCGGTTCAGCCGCCTTTTTATAATTTGCACAAGCTGCCACGCAACGCTCGTTTAAATGACGCGCGGGGAAAAGCCCACGAGGCGCAGCATCTCTTATCCCTCTACGGGACGACCGGGAGACACCGAGACGCACTCAAAAGGGGCGGCACGCAGTCGAACACAATACAAAAAAAATCCAAACCCAAAAAACAGCAACAACCACCACCACCACCGCCGCCGCCACCACCTCTCACGACCACCACTCCCCTCTTGCCAGTAGCACCCACACGTGTGGCACCAGCTGAGTCGGCACAACCCTCGCAAAAGGAAAGCAATGGTCAGGGTTTGGCACCGCGTGTAGTTTCGACAGTTAGCATTCCTCAAGGGAAGGGGTAGGGTTTGGGCCGATACAATCGGTGCGAAATCTGGACCATCGTGCTGTGCCAATCGGTATCACGCCATCCCCAATAGGGTCACTAGCTCTCCCACTGCAGCCCAAACACGCCTATATTCTCAGTCAGCCTGGGCATATGAAAAATGTGCAGTAAACTGTCATGAAACCAGCAATACTGGCCCCAGATCTCAGCACAAATCAATTCCTGCCAACCGCACACAGATGCCAGTCCCGGGATGTCCGTATCAAACCTGGACAGGTAGCAACTCCAGGGACAAATTCAATGTAATGTGGAACCTTTACACGCAACACAAAACCTCAATGCACGACGATCGAATTGCACCACCACGCACCGAATCTCGATACCCTGTGCCAAATCTCACGGGTTTGCACCGAATCCCAGCACTGTGCCGAAGCTCACCACACAGGGTGAATGTGTAGGATCCTAGACAGGTGGGAGCAATCAGTGGGGAGGTGGTGGCGAGACTTAAGCCACAAGTTGTTCAGCTCTTTGCGGCGCCATCGGCAGAGCGCATGCGATTCTCCACTCAGTAGTGATGGGAGCTGGTAGTGCAGGGTGCTGGGAGGGGTAGTAGTAGTACTGGGTGATGGTATTGCAGGGTGGTGGTAGTGTTGGGCCATGTATAGAGATGGTAGTGCTGGGTGGTGGTTGTGCCGGGTGGTGGTAGTGCTGAGCAGGGGTACTGCTGGGTGGGGTAGTACCGGGAAGTGGTAGTGTTGGGCAGGGGTAGTGCTGGGGGTGGTAGTGGTGGGCCAATGGTAGCGGTGGTAGTGCTGGTGTCACATTCACACTTCCGGCACCAGGATAAGCGGCGTCTGGATCATGATGCCATAACTCGGTATTGCCGGCGATTCACCGTTCACCTGCCTGCTGCCGTGATCCACACAGGCAACACCGGGCTGTAACTTGCCTGGGCAAACACCCGGGCATTGGCAAGACCTTTATATTGCTTAGTGAGTGACGCCTGCGATGCCGAGAGCCACAGTCTGTTGCATCACAGGTAATAGCTCACCACTCCCTCTAGCTCACCACTTTCCATAGCTCACCACTTTCCATAGCTCACCACCCCTCCTAGCTCACCACTCCCTCAATCTCACACTCCCCCTGCCCTAGCTTGCCACACGCTCGTAGACATAGATGTATCCAAGGTCTTTAGGAGGCTTCTCAGAAGCCGCCACCTTCTGGTCGTTGAAGATCACCCAGCTGGCGTGACAGGGGAGAGAGTAAGATGGGAGGTTAGGGTTGGTCACCTATTATGAGGGGTTCTCGATGTTTTTGTTCATGTAAAGATACTATGAATCCACTTAGAACCCTAAAAGTGCAATGTAACCCCATGTAAGAGAATGCTTCTTGCACGCGGATATGACAGCATTAATTTTTAGTTCCCTTTAAATTGTCTTATCCGTGCTAGTGTAATGTTCTTGGAGGGATACGGAGTCTTCGTAGAGGCAACGCGCTTTATTTCACCAAACAGTTTACACTAATCCCTAACACAAAGGGGTAATGGCCCCTTTCACCCACAACCTGGGGAGGTACAGCCTCTGGGCTATCGTACCTACAACTCTCCCTACTCCAGCCCTCCGGCTAATTAAACCTAGGGGAGGCTGACTCACCGCTGGCCCGGTGGGTCCCTGACCACTGGCCCGTCCGGACCTAGCCCTCAGGGCATCAGGCCGAGGGAACCTCAGGGTCCTAACCCCACGACCACTGGCACCGCACTGAGCCCCGGCCCTTAGAAGGACTTCGGCGGCTTGGGGTCCAGGGTCTTCTTCTTCTTCAGGCGGCTTCTGGCTTCGGCTTGAGACGGACTCTCTCGCGCTCTCAGGGACCCGCCTTATATACTCTTTCTTTCTGAGGGGCGGGGTCCTGGGGGATCGTAGCTCCTGCCAGCCCCCTCCCCTCAGAGGGGTTCCAACCGCCGTTGGCCCGACCGGTCTGGACCGGTTTCTACCCCTCCCCCTGGTTGTGGCGCATGTGTGTCAATCATGACCACCACACTAGCTGGATAAAGGAATGTTTGTCACACCATCTGGGAGTGTAGCTAGGAGAGCAGAGCTCTGTGTGACGAATAGTGGCTGGGAGCATAGCTGCTGGAGAAGGACCAAATTATGTTGGTATCACACATTACTTCACTACTGCTCGTCTCGTCACACGAGGGCAACCAATGGGAACTCCACGAGCGGAAGGAGCATGCTTCCACTGCTGTTGCTACTGCTGCTGAACGTGGCATGCGGACGTTTCAAATGCCGCCCAAAGCAGCTCGTGCTGAGGTTGTGGTGCTCTGCCACAAGCCACCCACAATGCTCACTGTTTGAATCCAGCTGCCGCAGAAGACATTAAATATTCCATGGTATCTGGCAAGAGTAGGCCATTATGTGCCAGCATCATGGTCCAAATTTTAAAAAAACTAAACCACATATTGATTAACTGGGATTATACATAGCACGTATCCCCCTACTCTACTGGCAGACCAGAGCTTGGGCAATTGTTGGTGGCAGTTTCTG